TTTTTTTTTTGGGGGGGGGGGGGGGGGGGGGGGGAGGGAGTAGTGCAACTGAATACAACCGAGTACATGTCTAGGTTTTTGGGGAGTAAGAGGTAGTAGTAGACGCTAGTACAAGTTGTACCCGTAGCTGCTCAACCCTCGCTAGAGTTGTAAATTGCAATGTTCAGGATGACTTGTACTAGTGTTACAATCTTCTTCTTTATTTCGCCTTCTTCTTATTAATATCTTTTCATCAGAAATAATTCCCCTTCTTTAAACATTAACGCTCACTTAAATAGAATAGATAAGAGAAGAAGAATGGAATGATTGTAAACATGATAGAATGAAATAGAGAGAAGAAGAGAGAACATATTTATGACAGGAGAGAGATCTCCTGACATAACAACTAGTCTTGAAAAGTTTATCCTTACAACAATAAAATAATATTTTTCTAAGATCGATTTTTAAGTCACAAAAAATCATTTGGTGATGTGAAAAACAATATTTTGGATTGTTCCAAAACAGTAAAAAGAGGAAACTCGTTCCAATAATGTCTTGAATAGACGAGTGACGGTTCTATTTAGAATAAGAATGATTGCGAATGGAAAACACCGCATTCAATGATAACACGCGATGAAAAGTATCTGCCCTCTTTCAAGTGCATGACGTTCTCGTGTCGAATTAGAACAAGCATTCCAAACTATAGAGTGTGAGTACCATAAGTTCTCAATGTTGCTTTGCTGTGACTGATAACCACTTTTCACTCGCATTCAATTTTCTCTCTAAACGAAATCCATCAAGATTGAAACTTGTAATAGAATATTTTTTCCGTTAGTAATAAATAAAATTGGTTCATGAATTATATAAAGTGTTAGTATGCAATAAGATCTCAAAAATTTTCTACTAAATTCTAGTTCGTTCAGTTTTGTAGCTAATGATTCATATTCAGACGTTCTCTTTATTTTCGGTAGAGATAACATTACATTAGATGAAAAATTGATCTTTATGCCAGTATGGGCTGTAAGCTTATCTCGTACTAAAATATAATAATTATGTTATTTAGATCCTTCATGCTAAAAAGAAGCATTGACGTGAAAGTTCTAAACTTTTGCGTTTCACTTTACAATTCACGATGACTGCGAGAAAGAATATCGTTACTTTTACTGTTCGCTCGCTATTTTTGTGTTCTTTTTTCTGGTCGTTCACGTATGCGTTCGGTATCCTTGAATGATAATATATGCATGAGTTATTCTATCAAAAGTCTCAAGTAACAAATGCAAAATATTCTAATGACAGTATACATGGGTTCATAAGTCAGGATCTTCATCGAAACTTTATTTGAATTAGAACAAAGAAGACTAGCGAACGCCGCTATTGTTGTTTAGTTACTTCTATTTTCTTATTATTGATGAATCGATTTATTTCATCATAGTGAGTTAATAGTAAGTTCGTCATATATTAAATAGCATTTCAATCGAGCGCTGAGAAAGTATCAATGAAACGATTTAGCGTCCGGTTGAGTACAGTATGTGAAAAATTACTGAACATTCTTATTTATAATCATATTAGGTTGTTAACAAAGTTTTTGCGTTTTTTTCCAAAATTTTATTTTTATTTTTTAACTTCAACAATACAACTAGCTTTCAGTTATATATGCACCACTACTATCTATGACTTGTCGCCAACGCTCTGGCAGAGATAGGATCCCGCGTTCGTAGAACTCCTGGGATTTTTGATCAAAGAAGTTGGCGATATCCATTTTTAGGTCGTTCTCGTTGTCGAATTTTTTCTCAGCCAAATGATGCGAGAGAGAACGAAATAAATGGTAGTCCGTTGGAGCCAAGTCAGGAGAATAAGGTGGATGAGGAATGGTAATCCATCCGAGCTTCAATAATTTTTCGCAGGTCGACTTTGCAACATGGGGTCGGGCATTGTCATGCAAATAATAGATGCGATCCTGCTTTCCCTTGAGTTTTTCGGCAACCCGGTCCAATTGTTGACAGTAGAGATCAGCAGTGATGGTACAACCATTTGGAAGAATTTCCCAGTGAATAACCCCATTGACGCCCCACCAAACGCTCAGCATCACCTTCTTGGGATGCAGATCAGGCTTAGGTGTTGCTACGCCTGTCTGACCAGCACTAAGCCACTGGCGTCTGTGCGTGTAGTTAATATATAACACCCACTTCTCATCACCAGTGATAAGATTGCGGAGCCATTGGTAGTTGCGGTGAGATGTCATTAAATCCATACAAGCATCAACCCGGTGTTGTAGCTGATGTGGTGATAACTCGTGGGGTATCCAAACCCCATATTTCCATGTCTTGCCTAATTCGTTCAGATGTTTTTCCACTGCGACATAAGAGCACCCAAGCTGCTCTGCTAAGCACCGTAAAGTCAATCGAGGATCTTGTTCGATAAGCTGCTTTAAGAGATCCACATCCACTTCCAGTGGTCTACCAGACCGAGGTAAATCGTCGAGTTCTAAGTTACCGTTCTTAAAGCGATTGAACCAATGTTGTGCCGTACGAGTAGAGAGTACATCCTCCCCCATCGTGCTGCATATGTTGTTGGCTGCTTTCGTTGCTTTGTGACCAAGACGGAATTCATGAAGTAAAAGCACTCGAATCTCTCTACGAGAAAGATTCATTTTCAGTTCATGATCAGCGTCCATATCGATAGCTTTATTATCATTCGAAAGATATTCACTCTCCCTTTATATACCCTTAGTATGGAAACTTCTAGAACTTTCTCGAATGTTTTAGAAAATTTAAAAAAAAAACGCAAAAACTTTGTTAACAACCTAATATATGATATCTTCTGTTCTTGAATAACTTTCTGACACTTTCTGCTTTTTTCTTCGTAGTACTAATAAAGATTTGAGAAATCTTTCTTTGAGCATTGGCAAGTATTGTCGTGCAGTTTTTTTTATGCGATTGACACTGGCTTAATTATTTATTATATAGAACTATGATCGAACGCCGTTTCATTGAAAGCAATGATCACTTAAAATACATATGCTGTCTCTTTTGTTTATTGCTTCCAGTGAAAATAAATAATCTTGATGGATAAATTAGGCCAAGGAGAAAATCTATATGAAATCGCAGTTGTAACTTAGACGGTATGAGATGCAGATTCTAGTTTATTCTGATCCATCACGCTATTCTTCGATTATTTTGAACATTTCAGATATGAATAACAACCAAAGTTTGAATAACACAGAAAATATTTCATTAGCTACCACCGAAATTTCTCTATCACGTAATGCTCGCTTTTGGATTCTTCTTCTATTTGATATTCCATCCGTAGCTTGTGCATTTTTTGTTCTTTTCTGCATCTTTATTGATCGAAAATTACGCTCTAACATAAAAAATCATGTTCTCGTTATTATATTGCTTCTTGGTATCGGTTCTTAATTAATCGATGTTCCTTTTTATCTCAATTTTCTCGTTCATTCGAGTGTTGTTCCAGAGAAGCCGTCGATTTGTCTCTTGTGGTGGTTTGTGAATATTGGTATGTACGATGGAGGAGTCCTATTTATGGCCTGGACTGCTTTTGAACGGCACATTATTGTATTTCATGAACAATGGATTTCAACAAAAAAGCGACGCATCATAATACACTATTTACCAATGCTTTTTTTAATCCTATATATTTTTATTTATTATACTTATGCCATTTATTATTTTCCTTGTGAAAATACTTACGATTACACATTGCCATACTGCAATGATTTTCCATGCTATACGTATAATCCGATCATGGACATATATGACTGGATTGCCAATATTACATCACCAACATTTCTCGAAGCATTGCTAAGTTTGGCTTTTATTTTTCGAGTCCTATGGCAGAAACATCATTTTCATTTGCCAATGCACTGGCGCAAGCACCGTAAAATGACAATTCAGCTCATGTCACTCTCTTCTCTTAACATGGCCTTCAACATGCCACTGTGTATTATTAACATAGCTTACTTTTGTGGTTTACCAAATGATATTGTAGCTGAAATGACTCAGTATTTCACGTTTCTTTGTTATTTTGTTATTTTTCTCTTTCCTTTCATTTGCCTTGCATCGATAAGTGGTGTTAAGAAAAAATTCTACGAACGAATACTTCGTCGACGACGACTACTAATTGAACGATTTACGGTCACGGTCAAACCTNACGAACGAATACTTCGTCGACGGCGACTACTAACACAACGATTTACGGTCAGGGTCAAACCGGAAAATTTCATTTTACAGACAACCATGCGACATTGAATGGAGCGCTTTGGAACTATTGATTTTGTCCTTTTAAAAATAAAACAATGCTGTAACTAGTGGGAAGAATCAATTCTTAAAAAAACTCCCATTTGTTTGTTTTGTGTTGCATTGTGTTTAAAGAATAACATAAAATATTGATGGTCTTACGTGTAATCAAGTTTACTTAAATAATATTTTCTGAAGAATAGTGGGGTGTGAACGTATCGCATATGGTCATATGTTTCTTATTCTTTCAACAGAATCGAACACTTGAAAAGTAACACATTCTTATTGTCAATGAGACGACATGATGATAAGGTTTGCTCGAACACACAGGAATATAGATTATTCGCATCACGTTATATATCTAGATCAAAATTCATTGTACTCATAAATAACGAAGAAAAACAATAGCATATGTTATCATGATTGTTCTTTTTCTGCCTATTAAGTGGCACAAAATTTAAATACGAGCGAAAATCGATTGTTCTTACATTCATTTAATTCTTTTTAATCAAGAAAATAATTTTTCTTTACTACACTCGTTTATTTGGCCTTGATTTCAATTATCAAATGATTTCGTGTGCATAAACGATGGTTTATTTGCCAATCCATCAGATATACGTTCATTTTATCAATGTGCATTAAGTGAACCTCGTTTGGTGTCTTGTCCAGCGGGACTTGTTTGAAATAGTAATGGACAAATATGTGATTGGAAACCCACTGAACGTACGTTGTTGAAATAAAAAGCTGTTAGCGCAATCCTTTTGGGATTAAAAGTGTGAAACACGATGAAAGTTCTTTTCTGGAATTCGTCTGTTACTGTCACTGGTTGTCTGTGGAGCTTCTCTATTACGGTCTGTATTATGACGTATGGAGTCTCTAGAAACCATCACAGACTGTGATAGAGAAGTCGAAAACCATCACTGACCGTTACAGAGAAATCAGAAGCCACCACAGACCGTTACAGAGAATTGAGAAACCATCACAGACCGTTACAGAGAATTGAGAAACCATCACAGACCGTTACAGAGACTTCAGAGACCATCACAGACCGTTACAGAGAAATTAATTAATAATTAATTATTTAACCAATTAACTGATTAATTAATTTCTCTGTAGTGGTCTGGGGGGGGGGGGGGGGGGGGGTGGGTCCAAATTTGAACCCAATATANCCCCCCCCCCCCCCCCCCCCCCCCCCCCCCCCCCCCCCCCCCCCCCCCCCCCCCCCCCCCCCCCCCCCCCCCCCCCCCCCCCCCCCCCCCCCCCCCCCCCCCCCCCCCCCCCTCCAAATTTCTACCCTATATACTTCAACACTCCTTTCAGATCGTGTTTCACAAAAGAAAAAAGATATTTTTTTCTTTGTGCAGCTATCGTGTTCAAAAGTTTTTAGATAACTCATTGACAAGCGATGGTATTACTGTCGCCGGTGGCCATGGGCACGGGTCTGAACCCAATCAACTTAAGTCACCTGTTGATGTATATGTTGATGATAGTAGTAATCACCGAATTCAAATGTGGCCGATCGGTGCAACTATTGGTATCACCGTTGTCGATACAGAGGGCACAGGTGAATACGAAAACCGTGTTGGTTATTTTCACAGTATGTTCTTCCATGAAAAGACAAACACATTGTACTTAAGGTATTTTTCGTATCTATTTATTTTTAAAAATAGTTTCTTCAATCGAAATCAAAACATACTACTAACCTATGTGTTTATTTTTCTTGCCCATTATAGACTAGTATAATACGAATTAAACTTATGACTTCTTCAGCAACGATCCCTGCTTTTCCATATGTTTTAAATCCAATGAAAGTCATCCCATGTAACGGGTATGGATGTGTTTCTGTCTTATTCTAAACCCACACCCACACCATCAGGATATTTGAAAAGCTTGAGCAAGAAAGTCATGTACGTTGGACACATCTTCAAGCAAGACCTAATACTTTTTGTGAAAATACAGCGCTTGCTTATCGTATTCATATACTTGTAATATTTTTCAAACATTTATGTATCTTGCTGCGTAAAGTGTAACATGCTTGTGCAATGAAAATATGATTTTCTCCATGCTTCAGCTATTTATTGCGTGTACTATGTCACAGGGTATAACTTCATTAAAAAGAAATATCTAGAATTTTAAACAGAAGGTCGCAGAGGATGTATTCTTTTGGGAATTTTCATCCTTGATTAGGGTCTATCTTATATATAAAGTTCCAACTCAAAAGCAATTGAGCAATGGAAAGAGTTGTTGGTCGTTCTGGTTGATTCATTAATAGATTCGATAATTACATTCAATTGGATCAGTTCCTCGCCATCATTAATGAATAAATCTCTACAAATTTCTAATAGTTTGTAAATTTAGAAAGGAAAGATTTTGCTGAAGCAAAAGAGATGTCAATTGAAGAACAAATAAATTCATTAAGAAACAAATTGAAATGGAATTAAAAGTGTAAATAGATGCTCAATCATTATTGAATAAACATAATGAGCAAAACAAATCACCATTGATGAAGCACAAGTTTTTCTTAAAAATGAAAATTCACAAGGGTGTGTGGGGTGTGGGTGGATCTAACTGTAAAAAAAAGGTTTTCTACGGAACCAAAAGAGGATTTGAGCGCGGGCACACGGTCAGATCCTTTTAGGTTTCGTAGAAAAAAGGTTTCGTATGGAACATCAACATCATCATCACGATGCAAGTGTTCCATTTCGTACTGTTCAAGCTGATGCAAAACATCGAACTATTCAAATCAAGAAAGATACATTTCAACGGATGAACAGTTTTCATGGAAAACTTAGTCGTCGTCGTCAACGTTCTAAGAAAGCAAAGCAAACAATTGGCGTGTCTCCAGAAGTGATACTCAATGTAAATGATCATTCTTTGGCTGCGATTGGACATAAGGATCTTTCTCGAGAGTGTAGGTGTGGGTGATAGTATCGACACCTCGATTCCTACACCCACCAAAAAAGTTATCATGAAGTATTGGAAGATGCATGGATAACGCGTAACAATAGAACTGAAAAACGATAATATAATGTCAAATTTCACAGTTATTTATTATGCAACATAAAGAGTCACTCAATTTACGAAGTAATTGAAACTTTACTGACTATTTATATGCATGAGTTGAGATAAATCATGAACGTATTAGATCTTTCGTTAATCACTGCCAGATCTGATTTTCCGTCATTGTTGAAATCATCCACTATTATAGCGCTTGGCCAAATACCCGTTACTAAGCTATTGCGTGTAGGAAACGTCATGTTCCCGTCGCCAAACAGTATATTAATGTTGTTAGAGTATTGATTGAGCACTGCTATATCCATTATTTTATCAAGATTAAAATCAGCAGATACTACAACAACCGGTCCGTTACCAGCGCCATACTTAATTTGAGTCTGAAAGGTTCCATCCTTATTACCAAACAAGACACTGATAGTGTTTTCGCCCTGGTTTGCCACTACTAGGTCCAAGATTCTATCGTTGTTTAAATCAACGGATATAATACACTTGGAGTTTATTCCACTTTTGTACATCGATTGCGACTGAAAGGTTCCATCCCCATTGCCAAAAAGCACGCTTATGTTACTACCGTCGTTGTTGGCCACTGCTAGATCTCTTTTCTTATCGTTGTTGAAATCACCAGATGTTAAAGAAACCGGTATTTTTCCTGTTAGAAACGTCATTTGATTCTGAAACGTCCCATTCCCACAACCAAGCAGTATGCTAACACTGTTGTTATACATGTTGGCCACAGCCAGATCCATTTTCATATCATTGTTAAAATCGTCTGATATTGCAGCGCTCGGGCTTCCTCCAGTATCAAACGTCCAGTTGGTGTAGAAGGTTCCATATGAATAGTCAAGCAGAATCTCAACAGTGCTGTTGAGATTGGTCAGAATCAAATCGGATTTGTTTTCGTTGTTGAAATCGCCTAGTGCCATAGAGCTGGGTGTTTGCAAAATTATATATGGAAGTCTACCTTGGAAGGTGCCATCACCGTTGCCCAACATCAACATAATGTCACTATCCCCTTGGTTGACTACTATCAGATCTGTTTTGTTATCACCATTAAAATCAGTCGCAACGATTGACCTCGGATACATACCAGCTGCATACTGGATCATGGGCTGAACACTGCCGTTCGCTACTCTAACAAGCAGACTAAGGGTGTTACCGTATAAGTTGGTCGCTGCTAGATCTAGGAGGTTATCATTGTTAAAATCAGCCGCTACCACACCACTTGGAGCATAGCCAGCACGGTAAACCTGTGGAGTACTAAAAGTTCCATTTCCATCGCCAAGGAGTACGCTGGTAGCGTTATCGAACCAGTTAGCTACTATCAGATCAAGTTGGTTATCATTGTTGAAATCAGCCGATATTATACTGTTCGGACCGTTACCAGCTTCATACATGATTTGAGCTTGAAAGGTTCCATTTCCATTGCCAAGCAGCACGCCGACGTTATAGTCGCCAAAGTTTGCTACTGCCAAATCCAGATGTTTATCATTGTTGAAATCGCGCGTAATCGCCGAGTCTGGAAAATTGCCAACGAGATACGTATCTAGAGTTTGAAAGGTTCCATCTCCATTGCCAAGTAGCACACTTATTGTATTATTGCCCTGGTTGACCACTGCTATATCTAATTTACTATCATTGTTAAAATCGCCAGCTGCTACCGAGTTTGGCGATATGCCAACTGCATGCACCGTTTGGTCTTGAAGAGTTCCATCATCATTGCCAAGCAGTATACTAATCGTGTTATCGTCATAGTTAGCTACTATCACATCTAGATAGGTATCGTTGTTGAAATAACCCGATATCAGAGATCGTGATCCTTTTCCAGCCGAATATTGCGTTTGACTTTGAAAGGTTCCACCTCCATTACCAAGTAGCACACTGATGGATTGACCGTTCGCATTGCCCACCGCCAGATCTTGTATATTGTCATTATTAAAATCAGCCGTTATCACAATATATGGAGCGAGACCGGTAAAAACTGTTATTGGAGTCGGAAAGGTACCATCCTTATTACCTAACAGTATATCAATACTTTTATCTTTCTGATTGAGTACTGCTAGATCTCGTTTGTTATCATTGTTGAAATAGCCAGATACCACAGAAATCGGAGATTGCCCAGTATCAGATATAGTGAAAGCTGTGTAAGGATTCATGCACACATTTGCTAGAACTAAGGGTGATGCAGTTAAATTTACAAAAAAATTATTAAATCAAAAAAAAAAATTTTAAGAATTTAAATTTAAAATTAACTATACATTTTTCTCTAAAAATTTTAATTTCTACAATTTAAATTTGATTTGAACTACTTTAAGTCAAATTTGAAGGTGTTTGATATTTTCCAAAAATAAAAACAGCCTTTCATCTTCAATTGATACTGATAAATACAAGTTTTTGTACGCGTTGACATTTTGGAAAATAACGGAAATGAATCACGAATCATTTCTAATGAATCTTACATTTTTATCAGTTAATTTCAACGTATCATAATAAGTTTGCTATCTTAATTGCTAAATTTTACTTTTACAGTCCTATAATTTATCAATTAGCAGGGTGTGGGGTGTCGGGATACATGGATACACACCCACACCCTACTATTCAGTAGAATCCCTTTGACTTTCTAAGTTCAGACATTTTTTGACACTTAAATGCAATATATAATCAATGTTGCTTTATTGGTTTTAGTATAATTTAGCGTCGTTAGCTATTTTATTACGAATTGGAATAAAGTTGAAAAGAAATTTCTCAGAAGAAGACAAAGACAGGTGAAAATAGGGGTATTATTTGCGATTCTAGGGACTGATGGTCTCTTAAGCTATGTGAAATAGCATATTCATGGTTGAAAGAATAACCTGTTACTCGGCTTCAATTGCAACAGAACATTAAAAGGCATACCTGGGTTGTTTTTTCGAAGTATTGAAGCAAGAATAGAGCCCAATATAGCGCCTCCGATAAGAAAAGCCGCCAATAGGCATATTGGCAGGGTGTATCTCTTTTTTTGATACCAATAACGTCTTGAATATGAAATGAAAAGATTCGTCGAGAAGACAATTCGATGAAGAAAAGTGAGACTTACTTCATTTTTGGATATAGGCGTGCACCTATGTATAGAAATATGTCAATTAAAATTAAAAGTTCGAACATCTGCAGAATACCTTCGAAAGGAGGCTCAAGTAGTATTTCTTCCGGTATTATTTGTTTCAAATGAATGATGTAGAGATCAGGCGCTGGATTCAACTGTGATTGAACTACCATACGAGTGCCGGGCAGAAGAAGAATTTCATCTTCGGTGGCAAAATGTGAATGGGCACGTATTGTTCGACCATTGATGACTTCAACAGATAATAGTGTTCGCGCGCCTGTATTACCCAAATAGATGTTGCTTTCCAACACAGTCAATGCAGATGTGCATGATGAAAATGCCCGCCATGTCACAAGGGTATCAGGTGAAAATTCTGCACTCAAATCTTTCGTTATTCCTCGCCAAATGGTAACTTGTGCGACGCATGGTAATTTGACTAGCGCAGTCAAGAACAATTTCAAATACTTGAAATAGGGTCGAAGATCTACGCAAGGGCAATTATGGAGTGTGTAATTGAGCGTCGAATAGAGACTTTGATGTGGTTCATCCCATTCGATCGTGTAGAGACGAATTGCAGCGCTCTCATCGATTGTTAGTCCATCGGGTGGCACTTCTGGGGTTTCATTGAGTGCCATTTGAACGTAGAAAGATAAATTATAAAGAACGTTGGTCAGCGGAGCACATGCTTTGAAAAGTGGCAGCAAAGGCTCTGCAGCGTATCCAACAATAGGGCCAAGATCGGCTCTGATATCGTTCATGACGTTCTTGATTTTCAGATTTGATTCTTCGGTGATAGCTTCTACGATTCGACGATTGTTTGTCATAGAGTCACCCGGTGCGTTATCAGAATCTATCATTACTGCCGCCGCTTGTGTTTGATCTGGTAATTCTTCTCCATTCATATTCAGGTCTAGATTGTCAAACTTGTGCGGCGAACCGCTCTTGATTTCAACGTCTTTGCTCATTGCATGTTGCTGAGTATTCGTCTGTTGATCATCGAACGTGATTGCTGTTAGTTCGATCTGAACGTCCTTATCTTGTATCGCCACTAATCTCTTCTTACAATCACTTTTCACCATCTTGTGCTATATGGTTGAATATCGATTCTTAAAAATCAAATATCAATTCTTTTTCATGACGACAGCACCCATCCCATGTAAAAAAATTTAGGGTAGAAATCAGATTAAAATCGATTGAAAAATGATGGAAAATCGATTATAATCATACGCCTTTAATCGATTATAATCAAAAATAATCCGAACAACAAAATTTTCATCGATTATTCCTATTATTTTCGATTATAATCGATTAAAAATTCATAAAGAAAATTGATTATAATCGATTTTCGTACATGAAAAATGGCAAAATTTTTAAGGAATTTTCTTCGCTTTGCATCGATTATAATCGATTTTTTTCATGAATTTTTAATCGATTATAATCGAAAATAATAGGAATAATCGATGAAAATTTTGTTTTTCGGATTATTTTTGATTATAATTGATTCCCAATCGATTAAAAATCGGCTAAAGGTGTATGGTTATAATCGATTTTCAATCATTTTTCAATCGATTTTAATCTGATTTGTACCCTAAATTTTTTTACATGGAATGTCACACAAACCGATGAAAAACCGTCGGTTAATCGCTGTTAATTTTGTGAAACACGATCTAAAAGGAATGCTGATGTAAGTTATATAGGGTAGAAATGTGGACACATCCCCCACCATCCCTCACAGATCGCTACAGAGAAGTTAATTAATCAGCTAGGGTGTGTGGGTGTGGGTGTTCTCGTCAACTGCGCCCAATACTCTGACTCACACCCACGCCCAAATTTGAAACAAACTACTATTCAGAAAAACTTAAGAGTCTCTGTGTATTTTGACGTCTTGGAAGTTTTGACAAAATTATTTTTACATATGATGCATGCCAATTTTTTCATAGAACTACTTGCTTTTTCGAATAATGCATGAATTGATATACTTTCATGCACGATAACGATACAACGGTAAGAAAACTATAAATGTTCGAATAATGTTTTGCACAGTAAAACAAGTGGTTTCTTGAAGAACCTTAAAAAATTAATGAAAGTGTTTTTAACACGAACTGTTTTTCTCTGGGGAAATAGAGAAACTTCGATCTGTCGATCGATGTTGAAATAAGTATGAATATATTTTTTCTTCGTTGCAAAATTAACTCTACAAGATAGAGGTCGCCGCGTCCCGAATAATTTCTTTATATGCTGTAACTGCAAATGATTTTTAGATTTTAGGAAGAAGAATATTCTGCTTCTATGCTCAAAATCATCAATTTTATTTCAGCTCATCCACAGTCAAATAGTTTTTATCGTGTTCCTATAACATTGAAAAAAATTCTGTTGGAAGCTTTCTCATTCAATAGTGTATCAACTTCGAAATATGTAATATCAAAAGAGCTCCTCGTCGAAACTCTGGGTAAAATATAAACAGTATAAAAGGTTAGTCTATTTACCGGATGTGAGTATTGGAGCCTCGTGAATCTCTTCGTCCAGTAACAATATTTTTCATGAAAACAATGATGTATCCTATTATCTGGCATGATTTCGAAATATTTTCTCCTCTGGTTGCAATTTTTCGAAAGAAATTATTTTATCATTACTATACGCTATGTAAGAGCTTGATAATTCGAAATCATTCCTTTCTGTAATGATTTTTCAGGCAGATAACCAACATTACATAACATTTGAATTAGTCAAATATAAACGAATGTAGTGATTGTATTAGGAAAATCTTGACTAAGAGTTCCTTTATGCTACAAGTTTGACGATGATTTACGGTCTTATTTTAGTTCGACTGTCAAATCTGATATTGTGCGATATTATTTCTCAATAACACTACATAAGCATGCCTACAATTTCTCGTTGTTCAATAAGATATTGTTTTGATGTAAACCTTATACTAAATATTGATGATATTTATAATAGACATCATATCAAAAAAGTAATAAAACATCAAGTTAGACAATCTGCATCTGAACATTCATGGATTCCTCAAAATTGAATTAAAATGGTCGTAGTGAACAGATTATAGCCATTAAAAGAGACATTCTTATCAGCAATATAAGTACATTGACTGCATTTCTTTACTAAATTATTCAGTTAAGTACACATTTAGAAAAGTGCATACATATTCTATCCACTTATGTGAAAATGACGTTTTTCATTCGTCATATATTGAAAATCTAGTCGAAACAAATCTAATCTTTTCGGTCTCAATAATTATGATCACACACTTTTACTGAAGTATTTATTGCATCCATATTCTTTCGAATTTAAATATAAAGTAAGAATAATGAAATGATGATACTTACTAAAATCGTACGTATATGACTGGCGTTTTCTTGTCGTATGAATATTAATTGAAATAGCAAAAAATATTTTCTCTCCTTGGTATTTTTATTTACACATGGTATGCTATTATATAATTGGACAAGCCATGCAGAAAAAACTGTCTTGATGAAACATACCATACTCTTGTCTTTTTTTAGAAATAACTATATCATTCAATTAAAATGTGATTTATATCATGTGCATATATGCAAACGTGCTTCAAACATGTATGATGCATATGATGGGGAATTTGATTTTGCGACAAAACCATTAACTCAAACGCAAAAGCGATTTGCGACAAAATCATTAAGTCAAACGCAAAAGCAATTTGCGACAAAATCATTAAGCCAAATGCAAAAGCGATTTGCGACAAAATCATTAAGCCAAACGCAAAAGCAATTTGCGACAAAATCAGTAACTCAAACGCAAAAGCAAATTGCAGCAAGATCAAGAAGGTGAAACACTAGCACCTCTTGCGGTATTCGCGGTATTGCGGTATTGGGGTATTCGCAGTGTTTGTGGTAACCGCGAACATCGCAAGGACGGCAAGCACCGCAAATACTCTGACTGCTTCCTCTTTTTAATTTTGCTACAAATTAGTTTTGTATTAGAGATGATGAATTTCTCGCAAAATCAAATTTTCTATCATATGCTCGCCAGTAGCATTTACGAATTTATCTTTAATCTTAAAATATTTTTCGGCCATTAGAAAACATTACATTAGTAGTAATATTGGCGTCTTATTATTCCCATCTTCTGAAAGACGAGATATTAAGCACAATACTTTTAAAATCAGTGGTATAAACATTCTTTTACATGAGAGTCATATTCAATCATGTTAGTTGTACGAAATTCAGCGTTGCATGTCATATTACTTGGCTGTCATCTTAAACATTCGATCTCTAGTGACATTTTTTTTCTTTTAATTTAAAACAAAAGTGAAGAATATATCTACGATTAAAAGAACTATATTTCAATATAGGTTGGAGCATTCAATTAACTGTCGACGCAGTCG